GGAGTTGTCCCTCCTGACAACAGCTTTAAAAAACCAAGGTACACCAGGGCCATTTTTTAAATAGATGCAGATGTAACTCATTCTTCCCATTATAAAAGGAGTTCCCTGGGAGCTATCCCAGAGTGCTCAGCCTTCCAACCAGAGTAGGTGTCCAGCTTTGCTTACTCTTGGGTCACCTTGGGCAGAGGGCAATAGAGTTTTCGTCACTCTTAACCCTTTCACTTCTTTATTCCCTCCCCAAAGAAAAATCAATAATAACCTGCTACTTCAGTGCTACCAAAACCTTCCAAGAAACTTTCCAAACAGCTCTAGGCTGATGATACAACTGCTTCTTCTTTGAGCATCAATAGAGAGGAAGGTGAGCAGCGGGCAATGAGCTCCTGGCCCAGTGACATCCGGGATTCTAAGTCCTTTCCAGCGCGAGCAGGGGCAGTGGGGGCTGACATTGCCCGTGTTCTCCCGGGAGGACTGTTGAGGCCTGCTACAGGTTGCATGCTGAGGAGGTTTTGTGGTGACTCTTGCCTGTTTGCTTCCCATTAGCTCTGGAGGAGAAAAGCCCAGCCCTGGGCACTAACTCAGAACACGGAAGCCACAGTCTGTTCTTTGTGGGGCTGATAATCGTGCTGATTGTCAGCCTGGCCCTGGTTTCCTTTGTGATATTTCTAATAGGTAAGTAACACTGACATGTTTTTCATTACTTGTATGCCCTTAACTTTGCAGCTGGTTGTTTAGCTTTGCTCCTGTAATGAGTAAATGCTTTGTGGGAATGAATGCTTAAACTGAAAGACGAAGGGAAAGCAAAATGCCTCTAGTGAATCCGCTTGGTGTGGGACAGGGCTACCGACTGATCAACTAACCAATTGTTGTCCGGCTGATTCTGACTCGTGACAGCCCCATGTGTATCAGAGTAGAACTGTGCTCCATCAGGTTTTTAGTGATGAATTTTTCAGAAGTAGATAACCTGACCTTTCTCCCCAGGTACTTCCGGATGGAATCGAATCTCTAACCTTTCAGTTAGCATGCTGGTGTGTGAACCATTTGCACAACCCAGGGAGGAACCAGGACAGGCTTCCTGGGACACAAACCCACTGTGTAAGCCCCCGGTGTCAGGAGTCACAAACACACTCAACTAACTCACTGAGGTCAAGTTGGGTCCGACTCATAGCAGCCCCTCCTTGGGTTCCTGAGGCGGTATCACTATGGAAGTAGATTCCCAACCTTCCTTCCAAGGAGTGGCTGGTGGGTTTGAACTGCCAGCCTTCTGGTTAGCAGTCAAATGCCTTAGGTACTACATTAAATATTTCTGCAAC